GGCTAATAATCAGGCTGATGAGTGCCTCTTCGTCAGGCCTTGCCGTCAGTGTGCCTCTTCGTCAGGCCTTGCCGTCAGTGTGCCTCTTCGTCAGGCCTTGCCGTTAGTGTGCCTCTACCGATTCCCCATTACCGTCTATACTCTTTTGGTCTCTTCGAAATAAAGGCCTGGGAATTTAGACTCTGCCCCCTCCTGTAGGAATTTAGATCCTGCTCTTTTAAACCCTACACTGTAAAGTGCATCTTAAAGCACTTAGTCTGTGCCGTACCCTCGCAGGCCAGACCCTGTCAGTGGTTATGGCAGGTGCCAGGGTCACACAGCTGTTTGTAACAGAGGCCCGGTCAGCGCACCGTAACGCAGGCCCCTCTCTGTGCCCCCCCCCCCAGGTGTACCTATCCCTGCCCAATGCCGTCTCCCTCACGGAGGGACACTGCCTCATCTGTCCACTGCAACACAACACCACCTCCACCGCCCTGGACGAGGATGTATGGGCAGAGGTACAGGTAGGCTGGCGACCCCCGGCGCGCTCCCCCCCTGTCCCCGGCCCCCTCCTCCCTTCACCCACCACATTTATTCTCCCCCATTCTCTTTCTGGGGTTGTTGGTTGCTATCCTGACAGTTCTGTCTTGAGTTCACGATCTCAACCACACTGTATCCATGGGCTGGTTCAGGTTAGTTTGCAGCCCATGTATGTGACCCCCCCTGCCACCACACACACACACACAGACACACACACACAGACACACACACACAGACACACACACACACACACCCAGTAATGATTGCCGTTCATCTCTGCCGGGCTTCCTGGCCTCTCATTAGTGTAATTAGGTGGGTCCGTTACAGAGAGTGATGTCCCTGAATATTGGTGTGCACAGGGCTCCAGCCCCCGCGAATTACAGCTTGTGGCACCAGGAGGCAGTGTGTTGGATGGACTGACAGATACTGACCTGAATGCTACACACACCCTGGCCCTGACTAGGCTATACAGCTTGGGATAGTAAGATCGGTTAATGACCTGAACCCAAAGCTTCCCGGTTCAGTTGCCGGCAGGGGTCCTGCTGTTTGACCTTTAAGTTGCTACTTAACCTGACCTGCCCCTTCGGAAAACTAATCCATTAATGAGTGGGACGCAGGCAGTGTTGCCCACTGTAAGGTCCGGGTGTTTGTGCAGATATTCCGTAAAGCGCTGGTGAAGATGTTCCAGGGGCAGGACCTGGACTGCGTGTTCCTGGAGACCCACATGAACCCGAAGCGGCGCCTCCACATGGTGTATGAGTGCATCCCCCTCCCCCGGGAACTGGGTGACATGGCGCCCATATACTTCAAGGTACGCCCGTCTTCTGGTTTGTTCCCGGCCCCCCCCCGGGTCTTTCTGATGCCCCAGTGACACGCCGGCACTGTGCTGTCTGCCCCCCCCAGAAAGCCATCCTGGAGTCCGACGAGGAATGGGCCATGAATACAAAGCTGGTGGATCTGTCTTCAAGGGATATCCGGCATGCCGTGAGTGTTTCCCCTCCGGCGAGCCGGCGTCGCTGGGTCTGAGGATGAAAGCGGCGTGAATGATGATCGGAGGCTCTTCCTGTTGGCTGTCTATGAAGCCCCGCCCTCTCCATCACCACATAACCTCCTTGGTCTCTTTAAGGTCCCCAAAGGTCTCCCGTTCTTCTCAGTGGACTTTGGGCTTCAGGGAGGATTCGCTCATGTCATTGAGAACGAGCAGAAGTTTCCTCATTACTTTGGGAAGGTCCGTCTCCGAACCTGCTCCCCTCCTAACCCCGAGCCCTTTGTGTGGTGTTAAGGCTGACTCCCTCCTTCACCCCCCAGGAGATCCTTGGGGGGATGCTGGACCTGGAGCCCCGGAGATGGCGAAAGCCAATGCGGGAGAACTTTGATGACCAGAGGAAGAAGGTCCTGCAGTTTGCACAGCGGTGGAAGCCGTTCGACTGCACCAAGACTGATGGATGATTGCGCAGCCGGGATGGACGGACTCTAACCTGGACCCTGACATGAGCCCTAAGGACCACAGACTCCCTCATTGTGCTGAAGGTGGAAAGGGGCCCCGGTGTCACATCCCTGGGTGTCACATCCCTGGGTGTCACATCCCTGGGTGTCAGACGTGTCCCTGGTTTGACTCTGGGGCCGATTCAGATGTGTAAGGGTTAGGAATTGTGTCCATTACTCAACTGCAGACTGCGAGGCTGGTGTTTAAAGTGAATGTTTTTTTTTTAAGAATTAAAGCCTAAGAATTTGTTTGGTACCATGTGGCAAAAAGTTCTGAGAACATGGTCCGTTCAGTGGTTTGTATCGTGTTCATCTAAACGGTGCCATCGGTGAGTTTTAATCTCACACCGTGTGCAATTTCCGGCCCATTCCTGCATCCTGCCTGGCTTTTTCTGGAATCTGCCGTGGAGAGCCTCGCTTTGGCAGCCGGTGACCCTTGGCCTTTGAGACTCACAGTTACCCAGTGTAGGTGTTTTTCTAAGCTTTCCTGAGAGGGGTCTCTTGCTCCATTATGTCATTACGGCCACCAGCAGCTCATTTCTGACCACCACCCCCCCCTTCCCTCCTGGATTTAAGGGGAAGACGCAGCGGCTTCAAGTGAGTTTCAAGATGGGATCCCCATACAGCGATGGTCCAGTAACCATTCAGGGTACCAGCCCCTCAGCTTGGCTACCTTGTTTGAGTAACACTTTGAGTCACGCTATTCATGACTTAAGCCAATAAATACACATTTATTTGGGGGACTAAAGCACCCATAAAATAGGCCTCATGACGCCCCTGGTAATATTCATAGGATATTTTGGCACAATCCTATGAATTTAGCCTGTAGCCTTGGTTAGGGGCCAAACTCAGCCGAAAGGTCACTGGAATCTGCTTGATGGAGAGACTGGTTCCCTGCTTCAGTAATGTCGGATATTCCTGCCGAACCAACAATGCAGTTCAGGTGTGGATTATCTTGGTATCGACACAATTCCCAGCATTAATTTAAAAAAATTAAAAAAAGTCTGTCTGCGAGGGAGTTAAGTGGCATGAAGAACAGGGCAGTAGCTGGAATTTGAAAAATATTTAAGTTTTACCTCAGCATATCAGATAAAATATCAGTTTGAAATATGTTGATGGTCCCAGACATCGACTGGGATTGATTCCACCACAAGGGTCCACGTCAGAGGTATTCTTTGCATGTGAACTTTGAACCATCCCATCCCAGGTGTTACGACGTGCTTATAGTCACATTGCGCGTCCCTGACAGGTTACCGTATTCAGCGACCGGCCCGGCTTTACGTAAGGCGATGCGTATTGAGATTTATGCAGTGCAGTCCGGCGGGCTTCCCCAGCGTGTTTTAAAGCCGATCGTCGATGCTGTTCTCGTTATTTATGGCATTGCTCAGGCACATGGAGCAGAGGTTAACGCAGCCCGGTGATGCTTTACGCCTCTCAAACCCTAATAAACATTGACCTGGACAAGGCAGGGGTCTATGAAGCATTACGGTGCGCTCTCTTACAGGCCATTGTACGCCGCTCAGCAACAGGCTTATTACTGTAATATTTCTGATCGACCATCGCCATCATATCGTGCCGCGGCAGTGACTGGGATTTATTAGCTGTACGGTGTACATTTCCCACAATGTTTATTATTATTTCTTGTCGACGGTAAGTTATTGGGGACATTAATATGGCTACGGCGACGCTGCCGCATTCGCATCCTGCCCTGGTGCTTATGATGTATATATCAGAGAACTGAAATGAACGGTCACGACGGGATCTGCCGCTCCATAGCGCAAACCCACCAGTGCCCTGATCGCTCACTCATGTCTCCGATGTCCTTTTAATTTCTATGGTAGTGGGAGACCATACGCTATAGCCAAGAAAGTGGGTCATGTGGACCGAAGCGCGCTTTGGAGATGTCTTCGGGCACCCAGAGCCTTTACCCGGTCACATTGCACGCAGGACCTCTTCCATGTGCCGCTTTGATTTTGCAGTCGGAAAGTTGTCATGCTGTGTTGAGTGTCACCGTTCTCAGGCATGCTAGGGAGGCTCCGACCTGTCAACGCCAGGATATAAGAACATCTCAGACTTCCTGCTGTAGATCAACGTCCATATAACCGTACCCAGCATTTAATGGGGACTGTGCGGTTCACCGTTTGTGATGATTGGGGGGGCACAGAGACCCCTCCCACCTTAAAATAAGGCTTGTGCATACAGTCCAGGGTCTGTGTTATAATCCCATCCACTGAATAGTAAGTAAATAATCAATAAAAATCCACTCACCAATAATACATAGACAAGCGACGCCAGATGCATGCGGCATAAATTTCTCTTTTTAAATAATAGGCTATTAAATATAATAGTCTAAAGGTCTTCAGGTTCCTATTAAATATATTGTCTCTCATTATTGATGTCTGTTTTTAAATTATGCCAGTGGGAAAAACGATTATTTCCTCCATAATATGTCGCATTTCTTTGCATTTTCGGCGTCGATCTCTCCTCGGCGCACATCTTTGCCAAGCCTCCAGACTTCACATCGCTCCTCTGAGGATCACACCGAGAGGGGGTGGGCTGGGGGGGCAGGTTGTTAGCCTTAAAAATTACTGATTGGCTGACGTGCAGAGCTGGAAAAAATGAATAGTGATGGTGTGGTCGTAGGGGCTGGATGGTTCAGCGGTTGCTGAGCTCTCCGGCTGGAATCGGGCGCTGCGCTTCGCCTCTCAGATTCCCGCATTTGCGGTTTCCTGGATGCGCACTGACCCGCAGGACCATGAAGAGCGCGGTCGTCGTTTATCACGCGGACACCAGGAGGAGCATTTACTTCTGATGGTTATACTTATTTATTGCGTCGGGAAGAAGGATTTTTGAGCAAAGGGGTGGGAATGAAACGCACATGATGGGAATCTGCGTCTTATCCTGCGCTGCCAGGACCGGCTGATCGCCCCTGGATTTTAACTCGTATTCTGCCCCTTGTTCTCCGCTTTGCCCCCCAGTCTTAAATTCTCAATCTAATGAATCCCTTTGGCTGCCCGGTATGTCTTCGAGGAAGATCTCATCGGAATCATTCAGCTCAATGGGGTCCGACTACTTGGAGAGCCCGGACGACAGCGAATGCCCCATGTCGCGGATGCTGTGGAACGGCCGGAGCCCCGTGGAGTCCCTGCCCAGTCCCTTCGAGGACGTGGTGGTGAAGCGGACCACCCGGCGCAAGCGCGTCAACCTTGACTCGCTCGGAGAGAGCCTGAGAAGGCTGACCTCACCGACGGTACGGAACGCCGCCGCCGCCGCCTCCCGCAAGTTGGCGGCGGCTGTACGCAGCGCTCCGGTGCTTACTGAGCTACGCTTACGCAGACGTCTTCGTGTGGGTGTGTGTGTGTGTGTGTGTGTGAGAGTGTGTGTGCACCTGCGCGAGTGTGAGTTTGTGCATATGTGTGTATATGTGTGTATATGTGTGTAAGAGTGCATCCATTTGCTTGAGTGTTCGAATTTATGTATATTTCTTTGTGTGAGAGTTTGTGCATATTTGTCAGTGTGTGTGTGTATAAGTGTAGCATTTGAACGAGTGTGTGAATGTGTGTGTGTGTGTGTGTGTGTCTGTGTAGATTATGTTTATATTGCATTGCGGAGACCAGACCAAATGTTCCCCACAATGTAATAAAAACCTGTTATTTTGCTGTTGTGGGGACCATTTTTTTCAGATCCCCACAAAGATCTGTGAATGCAATGGAAAAAAATAAAAATACCAAAAGTCTGGTATTTTGTTTGGTTACTTACGGTTAAGGTTAGGGCTGGTTAGGGGTTAAGGTTATCGTGTTGGGATTAGAGTTTTTCCCATAGAAATGAATGGAGAGTCCCCGCAAAGACATAATTACAAACCTCTCTCCCCCTCTCTCTCTCCGTACGTGTGTGTGTGTGTGTGTGTGTGTGTGTGTGTGTGTGTAAAAGCCGGCTGTAACTTTCCTGTCTGCCGTCATTCCTACGCTGAAACGCACCTGTGTAATGAGAGGAAACTGCAAACCGAACGGTGTCCTGTCTGTCAGGAATCTGTTTTGTACCACCGCTATTCCTGTAATAAACACCAAGTTTTCACTGATTAGAGTAGAATAAATATCGCTACACGGGAAACTCTTTTTTGAATAGTTCGTGATAATTGATTGGAGTGTTGTAGTATTGCATTGTTTTTCTTGTAGTTGTCTTCTGTATTAACATTCTTCAGACATTAAACCTTCAATCATGTAGGTTGCTGTTTTTTCAACCGGTGACTGTCAGACTGAATCAGGTGCGTTTTTACCTGGCCTTCGGTAACACAGTCTATTTGAAACACGGCTCGTCGTTTTACTGATCATACCCTGCCTTCTGTACATCATATATATGGCCGTTTGTAGGCCTACTTAACATGCAATGACAGCCTGTGGGTCACACCTTTCGTAATTCATTTTTAAACTATGGGTCGACAAAAGACGCCGATAAAGCTGAAGCCCGCTTTGGTCGAGTAAAACAGCAAACTAAAAATAAGGTTGTTTTATCTGCCACCAAGGGACATTTCCAAAATGTCCCCATGTGGATGTGGATTTCAGAAACGGAGGGATGTCCTAATTTGCTTGCATGGGCTGTGTATAAATAGACTTGCGATAGTTTAATTTTGAAAGTAGGGAGCACGTGGCCGCGCCGCCGGTGCCCGGGGTGACAGTAAGCCGCTATGCATGATTCACGTGAGCCGTTACCACCGCCGGAGAGCCGTTTCATCGGGGAATAAAGAATAAATACGGAAATGTGACTAAAATGACAGATCTAACCGACTGCAGGATGCCCTGAATGAAGTCATTTTAATCTGTTACATCAGGGTATAAAATATTTGGAAGTAGAAGAAGAGGCTCGTGTGATTAGTTATTGACAGATGGCATGTGTCTTTCAATAATGGAAGCTACTGTAATAAAATTATAATTAATGCATCCCTGAAGTGAGTTTTGGACTGGAATCGATATTACTGAGCGGCACCGTGCCAACCCATTTGTGGGAAACAAATGGCAGCGAGTTGAAAAGCCGTCCAAAGCGCCTGTCAGAGTTAATGAAATGAAAGTGAGCTTTGGTGTAAAATCGTAAGCGTCCGTGGTCCCCTTTCAGAGCCGCCTGTCAGCGTTAGTTTGGGCTGACTGGTGGCGGGGAGCCTTCGATCCGCTGTCCCCGGAGCCCGGCGTTTACTAGTTCCGAACCTCCCGGGTTTCTGGGTCCCCAGACGGCAGTGAAAATGAGGATGTCGTGTGGGCGAAGTGTGATGTTCTCCTGACGTTTGCATCTCACTGCAGCAGCGTAATCCGCCCAACCGAATGATTTAACTGGGCGTGGACGTGGCTACTTCAACATGACTCCTCAACGGTTGTTTGATTTCATGTCTTCTGGACCCATTATGAAGTAAACGTTTTTGGGTGAAGGTCTCCTGCTGCTTTATGTACCATTACTGAAGCCACATATGTGCCTGGACCCCCCCCCAGGTTTGAGGGTGGGGGGGCTGTTGACCACACTAAATATGAAATACACAGTGCTCTATTTAGAAGATGCTGAAGCGGCATGTTCTGCTAACTAGCTAGCTAGCGAGCACAAACCTTCCTCTGTCGTCCCTCCGGTGCCCTTCACACCTGTGCTGTTTCCCTGCTTCAGAGACACACGGTTCAGCTGGCCCTGCAGAGGACTCTGGATGCCTACAAGCAGAAGGGGATCAGGTAAGTGGGGTGGGGGTGTACCGTGGCCTCTCTGTTTGGGTAGGTGGGGGGGGTTCTAGGCTGTCACCAAGCTGTCCCCTTTGCAGGTTTTCTTGTCCCATTATCAGATTTATGTCTGTTTGTTCAGCCCACACTTCAGTCCCAGGCCTATAAAGGAGCCCCCCTTTATAATGGGCTTTGCTATGTTTTATTAGTTAATTTTTGATGAATAATTTAAAAATGTTCCGGTACAGTCCTAAGGTCCAGCAACAGAGGCTCCCGTGTTCAGGCTGTTGGTGTGGTTTCCCCCATGCACTCCGGGTCTGCGTGCCCTAGTGCCCCCTGCAGCCCCCCGATTGCCCCCCTCTGCTGGCATCAGCTTTACTAAACCACCTTCTCATCTCCTCTATTACTGAAGTTTCTGTTTGATCCTGGCGCAATGGAGTCAGTTTGCAGAGTCGCAGCTGTGCGTGCTGTCTGCGTAATATATTATTTTGTCCAAATCAATTTATTTTTGTCCATTTCACAGTTTATTTCAGTATTTCAGGAGAGCGGAGAGACGAATATGGACACATTGTCAGCTTGGGCCATTTCTTTCTGCCAGATGGGGTGTATTTTTAAAAAACATGTGCATGGAAATGCGCAAGTGGGGTTATTCCGCAAAAATGGCCTGTAGGGGGCGACGCCATCTAAATTCCATGAGCTCTGTGTTAATGTGGGGTTCTGCCGCATGTCCCGTGCCTGTGACGTGTCTGCTCCTTGTACACCTGGTTGATATTGCAGGTGTGACGAGGACGGGGCGGATGAGGGTGGTGACCCCGGAAAATGTCCCTTCTTGGAGGATTCGGGGTTGGGGGAGGAGAGTGACATCTCAGGAATCCTGCAGTACACAGCCTCCTTACTGGGTGAGCCCCCCCCCCCCCCCCAAGATCATTTATTTACCTAGCAGATGCCTGCACCCGGGGCCACTTGCAGATCAAGACGTTCCCAGACTTTATGTACACAGCTGGAATTCCCCGGGTAACAGCTGTGTGACCCTCCAGGTCCTGGGAAAAGTCTTTTCTTTTTTTGTCTTCTTATTTTTTTATTTCCTCTCTTGGCCAAAGTGCCCACTGGCTAGTTACCGTAGCAAAGCCCCCCTCCCCCCCCCCAACACAGGTTACTCTCATCCCATTGGCCATGTTTGTGACCATCCTGTGTTTGCCACACCCCCTTTAGCTGAAGCAGCCCTCAGCATATTGGCAGAGCTGGAAGCCTGTAACCTACGGGCTGAAACCAGGACAAATTGCCCGTGTGGATTTAAGGGGTCTGTTTTCGCTCCGTTAATGAGTCACGTGATCGGCGCTGATTTGTTTACCTCCAAGGAGCTTCCTCCGCGGCCCATTTGCTCCGCCGCCTGACCCGACCCGACCTCAGCCGGGCCATGCACATGCAGAGAGACCTGCTGGTCCTGTGGGGGTCCTTTGCCCTGATCCCAGCCCTGTGTTACGGGCCCACGATGCTCGGAGACCCAACTCCCTCTCTGCAATGCAGACGCCTGTGATTTTGCACGCCTCCGTCTAGCACAGAGTGTCCTGCCGTGCTTTTATTTTTTCCTCCATTTGCTTAGCCCCGCGATAAAGGCTAATTCTGCTGGACTCATTACCCCCCCCCAACCGCATTAATGTGGTCTCTGCTTCACGGCTCCACTTTAATCCCTGACATTTTTTTCCCCGTTGAAAACCGCCAGGTCAGCACAGTTTTCTTTTTTCGCATCACTAACGTAACGACTCTGAAAGGAGCATTTTGTACATGGGGGAAAACAGTCAGTTTAATTTTTTGGTTGGGATGCTTTTCTGGGGTTTCCCTGTGCCTGCGCGGACTTTGATAGCAGGGAGACATTCAAGGCTTAACAGTTAAGGTATGTTGTTATGACATAAACAGCCTGCCCCCCCCCCACCCCCCCACAGGGCTGCGGTTCGAGGAGCTCCGTGAGCACTTTGGAGAGGAGCTCTTTGGCCTCTGTTTTGAGGAGAACGAGCGGGTACTGCGTGCCCTGGGCAGCGACCTGCAGGGCTTCTTCAATGGCTTTGACGCACTCCTGGAGCACATCCGCGCCTCCTGCGGCCGCCGCGCCTCCACAGAGTCGCCCTCCTTCCTATGCAAGGACGCCCCTGAGACTGGCAGCCTGCTCTTGCACTGCTTCCACCCAGCGCCCCCTGTAGGCCTGGCCATGCCCGGCCTGATCCGCGCCGCCGCCCGCAGGATCTACCACAGGGAGGTGGAGGTGGAGGAGGCGCAGCTGACACTGGAGGGGGTACAGAGCGAGAGGGACGCCTCCTCCTGCCTGTCCTTCCTAATTAAGGAGCCCCGCGCCCCTGGGGGGCCGCAGACGCTGCCCCTGGAGCTGTCGTGCTCGCCCCCCGACCTGCGCATTGGCCTCAGCACCTTCTGTCGCGCCTTCCCTTTCCACCTGGTGCTGGGGCCTGACATGAGCGTGCTGCAGCTGGGGGAGGGCCTCCGCCGGCAGGCCAGGTGCGAGCCTCACCGGACCCTGCACTTCGCCGACTGCTTCGAGGTGGTATCACCCCGCATCGCCTGCACCTTCCAGGGCATCCTGCTGCGCCTCTCCACCCCCTTCACCATTCGGACCCGGCCAGAGGGTGGCAGCACTGGCACCAAGGAGAAGGTGGGCCTCCCCCCCGTCCGAGCGGTCGCATCATCCTCTGAGTTAAATGACGCTTTGGGATCAGGGGCGTATACAGAGGCGGGGCCGCAGGGTCAATGGCCCCAGATGAAAGCTGATTGGCTTCTTGAATGCCCCCTCCCCTGTCATTCACTGCCCTCTTATACTGCCCTCCTTAAAAAAATCCTTGAATTTTGACTTTGTGAGTTTAACCCTCTTGGATAAAACACAGGCATTTCTGCAGATTGCTGTGTATTATTGCTATTCCTGAGCTGAGAAATGTTTCATTAGCAGAAGTTGTGTGGTGCATCTTCAGGGCTCCAGGTTGGAGAGCTATCCAACCCCTGTGTGTGTGGGGAGTGGTTTAGGTGAAACACTGTTTAGTGAGTGTGCCTCCTTTGGATTGGCGTCTTGTCCAGGGTGTCCATACTGGCTTGTTCTGTTTATGGCCATGGGGATCCCAGCCTATCCCGGAAGCTTTGTGAATCATTTGGCTTTAAACGTACCTGTTTCTGTGATTTTGTGTGTACACTGGATTTTTAAATCGTGTCATGCCCAGTATGTGGTCCTCTTCTTCTGCCGTTCACTTGCAGGCCCTTTCTTTGCTCCCCATGGTTCTGTAATGAGGTGGCCTAATTAGAAGGTCTGGTGCTGCTACGGCGCCATTGACGAACCATACAAACACGCCGGCTCAGCTCGTTAATCCGGGCAGATGATTCCTGGTAAGAGAGGTTCACCAGGGGCTTCGCTTGCATATGCTGTCTTTTCAGAGCTTTATTTCTGCTGTTCATTATATTTATTACAGATATTACATGTCACATGCGCTGTCGGTTTCCACGGTGAGGAGCAGAGGGTTGCCTGCTGCTCAGAACCGGAGCTGAGCGATTCGCATCGCTTTGCATGCCTCCTCCACTTCAGCATTTTTCAGTCGTAGCTTGTGGCGCAGCTGGAGTAAGTGTGGGGTGCTATTGCGTTAGTAGGATGCTAGCACGTTAGCAGGGCGCTAGCATATTAGCAGGGTGCTAGCACGTTAGCAGGGCACTAGCACGTTAGCTGACCACGACAGAGGGTGCGTGGAGGCTGGTGCCCATGTCTGTGTACCGCTATGATGACCCCCCCCCCCTCCACCATGCATGTGCCTGGCCGATCTGGCTAATTTAACAAGCTGGTCTACATTTTCTATCATCGTACGTAATATGCTGAGTGGGGAATGCTTACGGCGCCCTGAGTATTTACATGTCGAGTCTCATTGCTCTGGATTTCTGGGTCACTGTATGGCACCGAAAGGACCTCCAGAAGGTCCCTCTATGGGGCACATGTTGGTGCTTACCCCGGGGGGGGGGGCTGTTTGTCTTTGTTGTACCTGGGGGTGCCCGTCTGGCCTTAAAACAGTGTGTTCTTCTTCCTTAAATAAGCTGCTTATCTTGGCCCAGGACAGAAATTAATAAATGACTGGTTCTTGCCAGTATTAAGAGAAGCATATCATTACATGGGATGTCAGTGTAGCTGCTGCGTATAGCCTAATTGTACTATTTGAGTTTGGCTGAATTAAATTCAGAGTGTTTTATTTAAGTGTTTTACTTAAAACGAGTTTTCAGGAGAACTGCTGTCACTGGGAGAGCTGGTGGTACTGGCTTGGTCCTCCGTAGCCCCATTAATCTTCAGTGCCCTCATTGAACTGTGTTGTTCTGAAGTGTGACTTGTGCTTGTTGGGCCTCGACATGAAGTGTAATTAGAACGATCTCACAGGTATTTTGCATGTGATTAGCGGCATTTTATTGTATTGTTGCATGATCCCGTTTCATCCTGGGCTTCCATAAAAGAATGGACCTCGGAGGCAGTAGCTGGTGGCCTGTAACTGCCAGCGTCTGTCCTGCTCCAGTGACAAGTTCCGTTAAGGTCATAAGGCAGTGCAGCCAGGACCCCCCCAACCCCACGCTCGCTATGTCCGAGTGAGTATCCGAGTGTTTCAGGAGGCCAATCAGCTGATAGTGACATGGGGCTGGGGGTGAGGAGGTGAATGTCTAAGTGCTGGATGAGATGTGATGTGAGCCGCTGTAAGTAGGGAGAGGGAGGTGGCTGAGGTCAGGCGGCGGTTACGGCCCCGTGCTCCATCCTCGGCACTAGCTGGAACCATCGCTGTGCTGGGTGAAAACAGGCAGGGAGATGAGGCTCTGGTGATGGGCACATGTGTACAGAGTCTCCTGCGTCAACGACCCCAAAGTCCCACCTCCATCTGCAGGGTGGAGGACACCATCCACCTCTACATCACTCCTGCATAGCTGCATGCTGAGTCATGTGCACGCAACCCCCAAAAGGAGAGGGAGGGGTCCATCCTTTCTGGAGCCGTCTGAACCCCGTGGGGGCTCTCTGATGAGATGCAGCACATGTTTTGCATGCATCGCGGACGGCAATGTGAAGCGTGAGCTTGGCACTGATCGTTTGTGGAAATGTCATGGGCCGTAATTCATCCTGTGATCATGCACCGCCTCACAGGTCACGGATGCCGACGGGCAGATTATCCTATTAATGCCATGTAAACTGTCAGTGTGGCAGTAATGGAGACACCGCTGCTGCCTGATTGGCTGAGGAAATAAGAATGTCTGTTGAAGAAGACATGGCACAGGAATGTCTGAATGTCGTTCACAAGTCATAATTGAGGATGATACTGGTTTAATAACTGATACTAGTCAGATTTAGTGAGGAGTCTTAGGGTAGGTTCACGGGAGGGTCTTGGTAAGATTTAATGAGGGGTCTTGGGGTAGGTTCACGGGAGGGTCTTGGTCAGATTTAGTGAGGGGTCTTGGGGTAGGTTGACGGGAGGGTCTTGGTCAGATTTAATGAGGAGTCTTGGGGTATGTTCACAGGAGGGTATTGGTTGGATTTAGTGAAGGGTCTTGGGGTAGGTTCACGGGAGGGTCTTGGTCGGATTTAATGAGGGGTCTAGGGGTAGGTTCACGGGAGGGTCTTGGTCGGATTTAATGAGGGGTCTAGGGGTATGTTCACGGGAGGGTCTTGGTTGGATTTAGTGAAGGGTCTTGGGGTATGTTCACGGGAGGGTCTTGGTCAGGGTTAAAGAAGGTTCTCCTCTTCACTCAAAAGTGCTCCTAAGGGCGCTTATCCACCACACCAAGTACTGTACTTTCGGTACTTTTGCTTTTCCATTGACTTCTGGTCGAGTACCAGTAACAAAAGCTTCAGTACCAGAAGTGCCAAACCAGCTGGGGTACTTCATTGGTACTTCGGTACTTTGGGGTGGAACAAATTGCCCACTGCTGAAATACAATACAAACGCTGCCTTGAAAACAGTTGCAAACTCAGAAAATAATGATAAATGAAAGTGTGATTTGGTCATAAGGACAGATACAACGAAAAGATCTGGATGCCATGACAAGAAATTACAAAGTATTTTGTTGAATATACTAATACAGAACGCATATAGAGCGCATATAGTGATTTAAAAAGCAAGGATGAAGATGATTATGGTTGTCATGGAGGACGCATGCAGTGCTCATGCAAAAGCAGCACTTTACACTGATTTTTAAACATATACTAGATAATCTATAAAAGGAATAATAATTAAAATTGCAATGCTTGCTATGTTTTTTTTTTCCTATGACAGAGTAAAAATATTTTAGCGAAACTTTAACCCCTGTGCTATAATTTCTGTACAGAATTGAAAGTAAAATAAAGCCTGATCTTAATCTAACTGACTAGTGATGTAAGAACTGTATGTGCATAACATGCGATGTTGGTATCGCACATCATCCAGCTCTATAATATACTACAGCCATTTTTCGAATTCAGGAGAAAAAAAAACCCCGTCTTGCGCTGTGAAGTCATTTGGCACTGGTACCAGTTTATATGCCAACATCTTGAAGTACTATACTTTCGGTACTTTCTTGAAGTACTATACTTTCGGAACTTTCTTGAAGTACCAAAAGTTTGGTACCTGGTGCCCTTAGTGTCTGTGGAGCTGATGTCATTGGAACAGCTTTCGATGTGGCCACTGTTGTCTCTCGATCGCTGGTTAATCCTCCTGTTAGATGCTTGAGTAAAGGAGTGAAATGGAAGGCTAAAGGGTTGCAAAGATTGAGGAAGGACTTTGAGAAAGCCATTGTGTAATGCCCTGGGGGTGTGGGGGCAAGGCGGGGGCGCTGGCCCTCTCTCCGGGGAGCGGCTGCATTGATATGGTAACGAGGCCTCTCATCGCCTGTGTGAGAGGTGTTTGCTGACTTCTGCTGCCCTGTGACGATGCAGGGTGGTGTGGCGAGGGGCGGGCGGGGGGGGTTGTATTCCCTCACCTCCTGGCCCTGATGTAGCCCTTCGCAAGCCCTGTTTTGTTTTTGCGTGTCTGTATCTACACTGACAGTCACGGCTGCCATTTTTACTCAAGTCACTCCCTGCTGTCTGTGAGTGACAATGTCCTGTCTGTAGTCCTGCTGTCCTGCCTGCTATGAATCATACATAAACCCCGTATGTGGGGAAGGGGGGGAGGGGGTTCACATTTCAGCAGTTTTGTGTTGGGGGTCAGACAGTAAAATGCCTGTCAGCACACAGAATACATTTAATGGTGTTTGCTGAGGATTGCAGTCAAGGGCCTGACTTTAGCTGTTGGGAAAGGCCCCTCGTTGGTGTGGACACAGCATGGTGGCTTGCTGCCATTATGCATAACAGTGGAGGGGTCTGTTAGTGTGCCAGATGTGGGCGTGGCCAGATGTAGGCGTGGCCAGGTGTAGGTGTGGCCAGATGTATGCGTGGCCAGATGTGGGCGTGGCCAGGTGTAGGCGTGGCCAGATGTAGGCGTGGTCAGATGTAGGCGTGGCCAGATGTAGGCGTGGCCATGTCCCCATTTCTGTGACATCATGTCAGACGCTCCATATTTGGCTTTCTGGACTCAAGCGATGGGGGTGGGAGAGCCAGTCAGATCTCAAAGCCGGCTCAGATGATCTCAGAAGATGGAGGTACAGCGCCCATGTGTGCGTGTGCGTCCATGCATCAGTCTCCTCGGCTCTGCCTGAAAGTGGCACTTTTACTGTGACCGTCTCCGGTTCCACCTGGCCGGGCAGCGCGGTGGGGCCGGGTCGAGAGGACCGGGTAACCCTAACCCTCCTCTGGCCACACAACAACCTGGAGAAAAGTTTCTGGGACCTTCCGGGTAGAATTTCTCCATGGCAACCGAGGGCTAATAAAAGAAACCCTACAGATGTGCCATCCTCCAATCAGCCGCCAGAGACCTGCCCCATGCCTTTGCTCCACCGTTTCCTGAGAATAAATGTCACTGGCGCTGGGTGTCGGGCCCACACTCGTGCTGAGGGCACAGCTTTACCCGTCACCCGGCACGCTGCCCCCCTTTATCCCGAATGAAATCGTCTTCTGAAGCTTCCTGTTAGATTTGTTTTTTCATCACACTCTTCTTGATGAAATTTGACCAGTGAGAGAGAGGTTCTTGCACTGACCCGAGAAGACGGTGGGCGGGGCTTTATTGTGGATGACTCTTTGCTCTGTGCTCATTGAGAATACAAATCGAAATTAGTTGCAGGTAACGAACAAAATTACTATTTTAGTAATGAAATTTATTTCTGTGTGCTGATGCTGTTTATGCCCAAGTCCTTGCCAGGCTGCGTTGGCAGCTTTAAAAAAAGACTTGGATATGAGGTATATTTTTGTAATTTTTATATTTGGTTTTGAAGAGCTTTCCGAAGGAAGTTTAAGCCGTGTAGCATATGGGTTCTGAACTCGAAGTGGCCCGCAGAATCGGACCCAAAACCAACCGTGGGCTCCGGAGAAGATGTGGGACAGAGGAGCGAGTGGAGGGATGGGTAGGATGGAAAAGAGAGAAAGGGATGGGAGAGTTTGGGAAGAGGGCTTTGTGGAGGCTGGGAGTTCAGAGGATCTCAGAGTGCATCTCCCCTGAGGGTGCTGTACTGTACACACACACACACACACACACACACACAAGTTTGTAATTATATATTTGTGGGGACTCTCCATTCATTTCTATGGGGAAAACTCTAATCCTAACATGACAACTTTAACCAAACAAAGTCCGGAACTTTTGGCATTTTTAGTTTTTGATCACACTCACAGATTTTTATGGGGACTTGAAAAATGGTCCCCACAACATCAAAATAACAGGTTTTTTTTATCACACTGTGGGAACATTTGGTCTCCACAATGTAATATAAGCATAATCCACACACACACACACACACACGCACACGCACACACACACAGGCCATAAATCAGGATCATCGTTATTGATTAACATTTTGTGGCCTCAGAATCATCAGAACTGATTTATGACATTTATCTTGATTTCTGATGAAATATGTTCTTTTCTGATGGGTACAACAGCAGGACCCTTACGGGATCAGCGTCATTGATGCTACATTCCACGTACCTTAGAGGAATGACGTTACACACGAGTTAACTGTGTAACTTCTTGGATTTAATTTACCCCAGTTTCAATGACCACTATCTTCATTTACTTACATTTAACCCAGACTACCTTAAATCCAACAAATTATCCGACTAAGCAAGAAATCCTGCTTTCTGAAACAGGTCCAAGTTCTAACCTGGTTAATTGTTAGCCTTTGTTAGCAATATCACGTTACATGATATTTTGCACATTAGAACACCATAGCAACACGTACACAGCTAGTATTTGGGCAGAACTGTGTGTACAACCGATTTAACGAGCCACAAATAAGACATGAACGCTAATAAACATTTATTTCTGTTGATAAAGGGCGCAGCCATCTTGAATTCTGAGGTCAGGGTTGTGTAGATACCTCTGACTTCACAATTCGGAATTCCGACTTCAGGGGGCGATCCTGTTGACATTTCTGACTAGGGACTTGGAATTTCCGAGCTATGAGTTTAAACGGAGCACAGCATAATTACCAAGTACCCCTGAATGGGGGGTGTGCCTCTCTGCTAAGGTTTCTTATCCCCCGATACCACCTCAGGTGATGGAGATCAAAGGTCAGATGATCCATGTGCCAGAGTCCAACTCCATCATGTTCCTGGGCTCTCCGCGCGTCGACAAGCTGGAGGAGCTTATGGGCCGCGGGCTGCACCTCTCTGACATCCCGATCCACGACGCCACGCGGGACGTCATCCTAGTGGGCGAGCAGGCCAAGGCGCAGGACGGCCTGAAGAAGCGCATGGACAAGCTGAAGGCCACACTGGAGCGCACGCACCAGGCTCTGGAGGAGGAGAAGCGGCGCACTGTGGAGCTGCTGTACTCCATCTTCCCGGGCGACGTGGCGCAGCAGCTGTGGCAGGGCCAGGCGGTGCGCGCGCGCAAGTTTGATGATGTCACCATGCTTTTCTCAGATATTGTGGGCTTCACGGCCGTGTGCGCCCAGTGCACCCCCATGCAGGTCATCAGCATGCTCAACGAGCTCTACACGCGTTTCGACTACCAGTGCGGCATCCTCGACGTCTACAAGGTAAGGGCCGGAGGCAGGGGTACGGGGCGCGGGGGGGTGGCAGTGGTAGGTGCCATCTTCTGAGGTGTGGGCGCCGGTGTTGAAGCTCGCCTAGGGCGCCACATGGTATTTGACCGGCGCTGTATAGATGGAGAGAGCATAGAGCTGCCAGTGTGTGCTACTGAGAGCATAGAGCTGTAGGGGCTGCTGCTTTAGAGAGCACAGAGCCCCCGCCGGTCCCTCAGTCCCTCCCGTTCCATATGTTCTGTAGATCGAGACGATCGGTGACGCCTACTGTGTGGCTGGCGGACTTCACCGGAAGAGCGACTGTCACGCCAAGCCCATCGCCCTCATGGCGCTCAAGATGATGGCGCTTTCTGAGGAGGTCCTCACGCCCGACGGGAAGCCCATCAAGGTCAGCCTGTCGTTTTGCCCTCCTGCCAATGGGACGCGCCGTCCGGAGATGCTTCTTACTCTAAATTAGCCGCGGCGTGTGACTGTGTACCCTGCTTCCTGAAACTGGCTGCACAGCAACATCCCTAATTAGATAAGTGGTTATTAAAAACAGATGGAGCAATCGATGAAGGCAGGGATTGGCACAGCACTGATCCGGTGAGTCAGACTGAGCGCTGCTATTGGCTGCTTTTCTTGTCACATTATTATACAGACCCTGTTATGCGTACTAAAGTTTTTGGACTGTTCCAGCACCAATGTTGCGGGAGGGGTGGTGTATTCTTAGGTCTCTTGGTATGGATCACTCTACTGAGACCATGGAAAACCATCCCCAGAATTTGGTTTATGCAACAGAGCTTAATACATGTTTTGCCCATCTGCTACTATTTTTTTGGGAATATAGGTGTGCTAAGAGTGAAACAGAAGGACCGGCTCACCCTTTATGCTGAGTTGGATTCTCCCATGGGCCATCTGGTTGACTGTAAGAGGCCCATGTGCATAAGTGCATGTATAAGTGTATATACAGCATATTCACATTCTCCACTTGTGATCAATGCACAGCAGTTACAGATTTTTTGAGCCGGAAGTCAGAAAACAGTGCCGTAAAAAAGGCCCTTCAGGGGGAATAGCGGAGCTCTTCCGTGTCCTCGGATCCGCCGCCAGCGCCTCTGTTCAGCTCTGTGCCGCTGACACGAGCTGTAAATTATCCCAGAAATGTGGCTGGGAAGATTTGGAGATTTGGCTTATTGTTGGCAATATAAAAAAATCCTGCAGCTCGGCCATAAAATATGCACACAGCAACGATCGAATAAATCTGACACATCTTAATGAGCGTTTCACTATACAAGTCGAATTTATGTATAATAAATGTGACATTAACACTAACATCACCCAAAGAGCCTCTCCAGGAAAAGCTTTTGAAAGAAGGATGGATTAACACTTTCTCAGTATTTGGTTATAAATCTGTGGCAGCTGATCCAGGAATCTGACTAATCCAGGCTTTGAGAAACTGTGTCTTTGGTAACTGGATCAATCCAAAGTAAAAAAAAAAAAAATTGCTAAAATGAATCTGGGACTCTGCATACTGTTAAATACTAAAAAAAAATAATTAACTGGGATTAATTTTTGATGCAGAAATGCTGTGTGTGTATGAAGACAATTGAATCTGGTCTCTGGTGAGATGACTGACATTTTTTCCCTTTCGTTTGAGTTTTGCCATTTACTGGGCAGATTCCGAACTGAATCGCTTCAGTCGTGTTAGAATTTCGTTGCCATGGCAGTAAAAATCGCACGTCCCTCTTTTGTTTCTGACTGATGAGTGATAGACAGTTTTTAGGATGCAGTATGGCTGCTGTTTTTTCCGAACCCGGTTGGTTCTGGTGAAGAGGTGGTCTGTGTTTGTGCATTAACTCAGCCGAAATGCAGAAGGATGTGAGCATTCTGCTGCCTGTCCCGTCCCAACCCACCCTCACTCCCTCCATTCCGCCCTCTCTCCTCCCTTCTTATCCCCTCTTCCTGTCCTGTCCCCTCCATCCCCTCCCATAGCCAGCTGTGTCTGGCCTCAGTCAGCTCACTTCCAGACATTATGTTCTGTGCACCACACTGGTCAGTCAGCTCACTTCCAGACATTATGTTCTGTGCACCACACTGGTCAGTCAGCTCACTTCCAGACAGTGTTTTCTGTGCACCACACTGGAAATACAGCAGTGCTGTGAGCCTTAACTTCTATGCCACCTGCTGGACACACTGCAGCCTCTGCTGGGAAGGACAGGCTCCTCATTTTCTTAATATTCGCTCTTCACTGGTTTACTGGTTTTGTTGGAAATTGAAAGGGGGCCGTTTGCTGTAGGATGTTCATGCAGATTCGTTGCCCCGCCCAGCCCTGCCCAAACCCCAAAAGGGTGACTGAGAATTAATTGCCAGCATTGTCAACTGGTGCCCTGACCTGGAATCCAGCTAGAATGAAACAAAGAGGGTGTGTGTGTGTGTGTGTGTATGAGTGCGCATGGTCCTTAAGCTGAACTGATACAGTGAAAAATGTGGCTGTCTGACTGGATTAAGATGTGTTTATAAAGACGTTAATCTCCAGTGCGGATCTGGCTGCTCACTCGTGGGGTGATGACTCAGCCCGCGCCCCGTGTTTAGGCATGTGGGCCCCAGTGTCCGTTTATCCAGCGCGTGTGCTCACTGCACACGTGAATCCCACCTATTAATAGTCTCCTCCATGTCTGAGTGACAATTAGCAGTCCCAGACCACGTGACGCGTGTGTGGGGAGATGGGCGCCGCCTGGAGGTGGAGGAGGGAGTCGCATCTCCGCCCCCCGAAGGAGCATGTCAACTCCGGCATCCTTTAGGAGCAGACAGGCCACGTTTCAAGGTGCTCGCCGATTTAAGATCCCTTTGGCAACCGGGGATAAAAATAGCCCAGCCTTAGCAGACCTGTTCACGCGCTCGATCTCAAGGCGATGGGAAGGATCGAGTGCAGAGAAGGAGCTGTGTGTCAGTCCGCACCAGACGGCCGGCGGGGGGGGGCTGCGGGGGTGTAGGGGGTGGCCTCTCCTGTTCACATAAGCAAAAAAGAGTAGGATCCAGGCTGGTCGAGGGTGTGCTTCATCGCGATTCATGTTCAGCTGAGAGATTCCTGCATATCCAAATTAGTGCTGGCTCCTCCCCTTCCCCGTGTTGCCGCGTGCGATTGACAAACGCTGTCATGGCAACGGAGGTGTTGAATGGCGGGTGGCTACATAGCTGTGGTCTCGTCAGGGCAGATGGGTGCCGCTGTACCCCAGGCGGGTGGGTGGGGGGGGCCAGGCCAGGCCCCGCTTCACCTCAGTGGGGGCCATTCTGATGGGTCTTTCCTTCTGGACCTAAATGTTTCTGCTCACCGAAGCATCGCCATTGGGGTGAGGTGACCCCTCCCCCTGTGTACTTTGCCTGTCATTGTTTCTCTTTGGACAATAATAATGATTGTTCTAGGCTTTGTTTCCTTTACTCTGACTTAGATTGGGAGGAGGAAGCTTTTTGCTGACTGCTTCTGTCCGTGTGGGTCACAGAGCAGCTCCGCAGCAGGCAGCTTGGGGGTGTGGGGGGGGGGGTCCTCCACGACGGCTGAGCTGGCATCAGAACTGGCCGAGACCAGCGACTGTGTACCGGGTTCCTATGGCAACAGCAGACGAGGCTCCGAGCCTGGGGTGTTTTGTATTCCACCGCGCTGGCGTGTGGACGAGCGAGTGCATTAGGCCGGCGGCTGAGGGTGACACCGTTTTCGGCGACGTCTCTGTGACAGACTGTAATCACAGATGCAGAGAGGTCCTGGGGGCCCATCACAGTGGACGACGCGTCACCTGGCCCCTGGGGATACGTGACGAGTGTGTTGGTGTCCTGTCTGGAGGTCAAGCTGTGTTTTCAGGCAGCCTGTGGTCTGAAGGGAGACGTGACCCCCCTCCTCCCGTGAAAGGGGCGGGGCTTCAGAGGCACCCTGCCTCGCATGGCTCCTGCGGTTCTCGGTGGCATGTCCCCCCGCCCCTTGGCAGGTTTTAGTGACTCAGAGGGAGATAGATGAGGCAGTGCCTCCCTGATGGAGACTCATAGTAGACGCCACAGCGAGCCCCCCCCCCTCCCCCCCGTCACTAGGGAGAGATGACATTTTCACAGAGTCAGACCTCAGGCCTCT